TCGACGCACACCGCAATTCGACGCACTCTCCCACCAAAACTAGCTACGCAGAAGAGCGTGTACCTCAACCACTGGAGCAGAACTTTGTAAGCACTATTTAGTGGCACTAAATAAATACTTGTTCTTCATGTTTAGCACCTCTTGTTACTCAAAGAAAGCAGTCTCAAGGAATTATGGCACCGCGAAATATGTAACGATGTCTTGGCATCTATTTGTATGGGATTTCCATACAGTATTCCAGCAGGCTGAACGTACTACTCTTCTTCAGCGCTATCACCAATGGCCATAGTCTTGTGGTCAAAGGGCCTCCCCGAACTGTATATTGATTCCCTTGATTCTATTCAGTCCATTTAATATATTGCATAGTTGGCACGCACTTCCAATACTATTCCTATGCTATGACAAGAAATATTTTAAACAGCTCAACAATTACTTCGAGGATTAAGTTGATGCCATTCATGTATATCTCCATAGGGATAGGTTAGCCAAATGAAGGGTTTGAATAGTTTTATTGAATTAATTGCAGGTGCAGAGGGCAGACTTCCATATCTTGCAATTATACCACAAAATATATGCCAAGACTTATGCGAAAATATGCAGAGGTATAAATCATTCACCACTAATTTTTCTTATAAGTAGAGATGCAGGATCTGAAGGATGATACTTGCTTTAAGTCTCCTAGAAGGCGCATAGAGAAGTAGGTTCTGTGCGTGGGGATGTACAGGCTCTCATTCGCTCAGTTTTGGTGGGAAAATGCGTCGAATTGTAGTGTGCGTCGAGATGTGGTGAAACACAGTAACTTAATGGCTTAATATGTGGAAAAACTTTCTATTTTTTTCTTTTTATTTTTGACTTTCTTAGTGTTAGTAAATACTTTCAATTCTTTATACTTACTTTCCAATTCGTGCTGAACATTCGTTTTTTTGAGCCCTACTCTTGATTTACATGCCGCAGCCGCCATGAAGTCTTGCACCTGAAGTTTTAATTTATAGCCTGTAGATATGATGGGTCGTGTTAGGAATCGCAAATACTTGGTATGGACGATGGGTTTTTTTTTTTTTTAAATCATTACTCGCGTGCCGCCCTGAGGGCTATGGCGAGATATTAAGTACAAAGGAGAAGATGGAAAATAAAGTGAAGTAAACAGGCACGAAACACAAGGTTTAAAGCTACTAACTCGCGTGCTACTGATCCGCCCACCTCAAGAGTTCTACCAATGCCTTCTCCTTAGCTTGTCTCCAGTGGTCGGTGTATCGCTTCCAGCCCCCCCGGCCAACTCCTCCTCCAAACCCTGCACCTCTCCCATATGTGTGAAGTCGTTTCCTCCTCGCCCCCGCACCACCTGCATTCCGGCCCCTCCGCCTTGCCAACATTATGAGTCCACGCCTGCAGGCCCTTGCCCCCCAACAGGCCCGCCGGGGAGCGTACTCCAAAGTCCAGCCTCTGTGGAGGCTTGTAGCTCAGTCCCAGTATGTTTCTCTCTTCTGCCCGCTGTGCCTTAGCCAGCTGGCGCATGCCTGCCTCTGTGACCATCTCATCCTGGTACTGTAAATAGGTGCCAATCCTCGCTGCTCTGTCTGCCTCCTCATTTCCTTTTATCCCCTTGTGCTCTTTGACCCACATTGCTGTAACATCTAGTCCCCTTCGTGCTATTCTCCCTTCCCATGCTCTCCTTACCGCGTGGGCGGGTCCGTCCGGTGTCGGCTTCTCCTCTACAACTTTCTGTAGCTTGCTGATTGCTACCCGTGAGTCTGAGATTATGAGCACTGGCAGTTCCTCGTCCCCAGTCTGTGGGGCTCTTGCCATGGCTACTAGTTCTGCGTCGTTGACTGTTGCTCAGGATCCCATGTAGATGGAGGTCCTGATGGACGATGGGTACAGGCATCCATCAATAGGACGGTCTACAGTTGAAGTACCGTGGCCCATGTCCTTACAACCGGAGTATAATATTGGAGACAGGCAACCGTACTGTAGATCCAGGAACCCTTATCCAGTGCGCGTTATTAAGGTACCACGAGGATCCATGCACTCTATAAAAAACAGTTCTTTATTTCACAGGTTCATCGGCCCTCTCGAGGTTCGCTGGCATTTTGTGAGGTTTAGTGGGTCGAGACTCTCAGACTGAGGCTCCGCAGTGACCAAACCATCAAGAGCAATAGATCCACAACTAGACGGTACCTAGAGTTGAGCCCCTTGTACGGCTTACATTGCAATGTCGCGGTTGCACTGGTTGAGGTACTTCTAATCTGTGGTAATTGAAGCACTCTCAATTTTGGGGGTAATGCACCACTAACTCTGACGCGTGCCATAAATTGAGGGTTGATATTCAAGGCCCTTAGAAAGCTATTCAATCACGAGGGAATTGATGGTACGCAGTTCATCCTGGTGTGTGGTCCCTAGTCCCTCTTTTTACCTCATAAGAAGAGCTGTTAAAAGATTTAGTAAACAAGCTGTTCGAGTGACTGTTCAGCCAGTTGTACGAGAGAGGGGCAGAGAGACTGCGGGAGGGGCTACGGGAGAGGCTGCTGGCGGGGCTGTATGAATGACTGCTGGAGGGAGAATGCGATTGAAGGCGATGGGATGGAAGCGCGAGATGCTGTTGCACATGGAGGGTTGGAGGAGGTGGAGGATGGGAGGAGGGGGAGGCGGATGGGCCATGGGGGAGTGGGTTCGGAAGAATGTGGAGTTGTAAACTTTTCGAACTGACCTATAGCTTAGTGAGGTGTTTTGTCTGCTGTCTCCAGTATCAAAGGAAGAAACAAAACGCCAGGGCGAGATATAGAATTGAGGTCCCTGGGTCGAGTATAAGGTGGGTAAGGGGGTTGCCAAGCATCTTTTCTAAAAAGATAGACTGTAATGCTCCGGCTCCATATGATTAAATTCTAATGGAACATGGCAACTTGTTTTTTAATTTTTCTTTATTTTATTTTTTTTAATTTTTTTTTTATGATACCAGTATTCATTTAGCACGAGAAGGCCAGGTTGTGTGGTTTGTGCATCAACCAACGGACTTTTGGCGGTTTATCCTGAGCATTGTGCCATGACCAGAATTTATGCGTGCCAGGTCCTGAATACTATGCAAAAATCTGACCGGAAAATCCGGTCATCTCCATACAAAATTTTATCTGGTTTTTTTCATGTTATTTTAACTGGTTTATTTTCGCGTTTTTTCGTGAAATAAATCCGGACTTGACAAAATTCTGAAATCCGGAAAATCCGGCCAGAATTTTCTAATCTGAATACCGCTATTAATTTACATTGGTAGATCGTTCGAATCTTTAGTGAATCGCTCAAATTGCTGATCCGGAGAGACGCCATCGCTGCTTGAAGATCAAAGATTTGTCAATAGATAGAGGCTCTTCGCCCTCAATTTGTCAACAACAGAAGACAAAATACTCCACCCAATAAATTTCCCAAGACTATGGTCTGCAATCTTCCTCAATTCATCCTTACAAGCAGAGCGATCAACATAACCCAAAATAAAATAAGCTTCTCTCCAACAAACAATCAATTTCATCCTCAGCCTCCAAGTCGTCGATACCTTCAGGACACAACCACATATTTCAGAGTGGGTTGGGGACCCCGGCGAGGTTGCTCAGGGGTTGTTTAGGAAGCCATGGCCATCCGTGCTTGTGCCCACGTCTGGGGGTGTCTAGAAGCATGAGATGATGACGGTAACGTAGCAGCCTTTGCGGGTAGATGTTTTGTTCGAGGAGTTGGTGCTCTTGTGGTGTGGTGTGGTAATGCTTAGAGAGAATAGACAGCCAGGGCAGGTAAATTTACCTCTAGCATCGGACATGTGTATCTAGGGGTGTTGCGCGGAGGAGGGGTTTAGAGCTGAGCCATATTTGGTGATGACGTGATGCTATCAAGCTGCGCACAAACAAAGCAGCTCCCGCAGGTGGTACTGTTGAAAGCTGAGACTCCTCTATTTCATTGACAATGTTATCGTTCGACCTCAAGCGTAAAATCCTTCGAGGTCAATTCCGAGAAGGATTTCGTTAGGGCTACGCAATATCGGCGTTCGATTAATTATAATTCGAGGAAGTTTATGCTAAATTTCTATATGTTCTCCGTATCTCTCAAACGAAACGCGCTCCTTGCACGCGGGGCAATATGGCACGGCTGGTCTTGATTCACTCAAGGTCCAGATCGTAGTATATAGGCAGCTGGTGCGACGGATTCGCGAGGTGGGAGGTTATTGTTGTAGTAAATCTAGAGGAGGGTTGCGATGGGAGGAAGGCTACGATAGAAAGAGGACTGCGGGACTGAGCACGTAGGAAAACTGCAACTGAAGGAGGACGGCGTGAACAGGATGCTTGTGACAGCGAGAAAATTAAGTGCATTCTCCAGCTCCGACTTTTTATAAGATTTCTAGCCGCTCTCCCTCGGGAACCAGGGTATCTTGCTTAGGCAATGCGACAAGAGCGTTTTACGCTGCCACACTCAGTCCAAATTGGGAATTCAAATCCAGAGCCATTTATCTAGACTTCCGTATGGATAATGTACCGAAGACGTTGATAAACTGTTTACTCACACATTACCCTCAGGCTCGAATATTAGTATGCATATCCATCTATGCAGCTATAGCTAAGTATCCCTAATGTGGAGAGCGCAACTATAAATATTGCTCCCCTAGCCTGAAACACGTAGTAAATTTGCTGCATGAAGGGTGAGTGGTGTTTTTCGTAGTGCATGTCATTGCGGGGAGCTGGATATCGATGCAGTAAGGCTTTCGAGAAATTGATATTCTAGGACTGCCCATACCGCAGGCAAGGCATAATAAAAAGGGGGAGTAAGTCAATTGCAATTCAGGAAATGCAGAAAAACAACCGTCATCGTGAAGGAAAAAGTAAGACATCAAAATTTCTCCACATCTCCTTCCTACCTCATCTCTGCATTCCACGCGCATATCCACTTGCCTCATCCAGTAATCGAATCACGAACTACTTACCCCCCGGACCAATAGCCTCACTAGTACGCGACTAATTAACAACAAAGCCCTGATGGCCAAGTGGTAAGGCGCATCACTCGTACTTTTCCTTCTTTTCGGACGGTCAAAAACGCGATGATGAGATCGGGTGTTCAATCCACCCTCAGGGCAGCTTGCGATTTCCTTTTTTCCCTTCTTTTTTTTTTTTTTATCTGTCGACAGATAAGTCAAGGAGAGCGCTAACGAGAGGCGGATGCAGATGACGTCGGATGATTTAAACTTTCTATAATTTATGTATTTTTGCTTTTTCCAAAAAGATAATGCACTTAAGCGAGGGGACTAGGATTGGAGGATGGTCCGCAATTCGTAGATCGACTTAACGGTACGGTCAAAACTCGTGCAATTTAATCGTTGGGCACAACACCATAGGTACGATATGTCTCAAAAAAAATTTTTCGAGTGTAAAAACAACCAATCCCTGCCTAATCATCCTCGGCCATAACGATTGACGACAACTCTAAACAATCTTACAATATTAACTGGCAGTACTCGAGTACTACAGTTGGCAGCTCTGAGGAGCCGAACAAACCAAGCAAACTCAACCCAAAACATCGCGTTCCGACCAATAAATTAATCGTCTACTACTCAGATCTCTCTATTGGCGGTCCCCGAAACAGCAAACGTTTGTTTGTTCATTCAACGGCAATTGCATTGATATTAAATAAACATCGATATCACCCAATGTCACGCAATGAGCTCCTGCCCAAACCACCCCTACCCTCAGCCTCTCGTTACTCTGATCCTTTTCTAGCAGTTTTGCATGTGAACCGACCATGCCACTAAATACATAAGTAATTATAGTGCAAAGTATACAGTATCCTGAACTTTAAGCTTATTCTCTATCATTTCTTAACTCTCATATAAATACCAATTCAAAAACCCACCATAGCCGTATTCTCTCTCTTTCTTTTCTCTTTCATCTCTTTTCTTCTCCACCCCTACCCTACATTATGACTCAAAATCACAATAAACAAACAACCCAATCCACGATCTTCAACCCCGATCGCTATAAAAAAACCAAAAAATGCAAAGAGCGAAAAATAAGAAGCCTGATACGGGGCTCGAACCCGTGACTTTGAGGTCTCATTTTTCACCCTCATTTGAATCTTCAAAGAAAGCTACTTAAAAGCCACACGCTCTACCGACTGAGCTAACCAGGCGATTTCATGAGATCAAATTTTCCGAACAATTCTTAAAATCATGCGAGTATGTTCCAGAGCATGTCCTATGTCGTACCATGCGAATTTTATATGTAGCAGCTACATAGTATCAAGAACCATCATGTGCTGTGAAACCTGGAACTAATATCGCAAAAGTTTTGATGGGGCGGCACACGAGTAAAGATATATTTTAAAAAAAGGTCTCTCCGACTACTATACCAAACCGGACAACGATCGACCATTGCATAACGATCGACATTCCTTGGCCAATTTTCAAACGCATTCCCCACCCCGTTTTGACTTTCTATACCTGTCAACCACCTAATTAACTACCCGCGATGCCTCCCAAATCGAAAAAAGAGCTAAAGCTTCATGACAGTCAGCTAGCACGTGCTATAGACTATGCTTATAAGCATCCAGATGTGTCAAAAGCGAAAATAGCTAAAGCATTTGGTGTTAATCCTACAACATTACGCCGACGATGCCATGGAGTACAGAAAAGCCGCGCCAAAGGCCGACAGGACTATCAGCTACTTACTACAGCAGAGGAAGATGCAATTGTTGACTGGTGTAAAAAAATGTCAGATATGGGCTTCCCGGTCACGGTACTTATGCTTCGGTCGATGGCATATATTCTACTGCGTGAGAGAGCTTCGGGAAAGAAGAAGGTTGATCCTCCCGGTATAAACTGGCACAACCGTTTCCTCTCAAGACACCCGGATATCAAGCTTAAGTACGTCCAATACCTAGAGAAGATACGTGCGAAAGCTACAGCGGACATAGAGGAACAGCGTTTATGGTACATCAAGCTACGTAGTCTTCTCCGGCAATACCATATACTACCTGAAAATCTGTGGAATTGCGATGAAAAGGGTGTCATTATTGGCCTAGCAGTAGGTAGGCAAAAAGCTATCGTTAGGGCATCTACAAAACATAAGATAGCTATCACAGATGGTAGCAGAGAATTCTGCACAGTCCTCGAGAGTGTCTCTTCCTTAGGTCACGTGATACCACCATTTATTGTATGGAAGAATAAGGTGCATTGTGCTGGTTTCTACGGTACAGGTGGTGTACATGATACACCAGCATCTTTTAGCCGATCACCCAGTGGCTATATGGATGATGAACTTGGACTAGACTTCATGAAAAAGCATTTCGAACCGCATACCCGACCCGCTACCCCCCCACCACCAAGCCAATATATCGCCTGCTTATTGTCGATGGGCACTCATCACATGTCAGCTGGTCTATCGTGGAGTATGCCCTAGACCATAATATCATCATGTTCTGCCTGCCTTCGCACTCTACACACATTATGCAGCCTCTCGACGTAGGGTGTTTCTCACCGCTGACACGAGCATACCGGACTGGGCTTCAAGACTTCATATACAACCACCCTGATCAACCATTTGGAAAGGTGGAATTCTGGGAGGTCCTATGCACTGCTAGACATGCTGCACTCACCAAATCCAATATCACTAGTGCATTCAAAGCTACTGGCATATGGCCACTACGGCCGGAGGAGGTTATTGGGCGGACTGAGGCAAAATTACTCCAATTACCTGAACTAGAGCCTACCAATACCCCTATGAAGGTAGCTACCCTCCGCACCGAGCTATCACAACTGGACTTGACGCCAAATACCCGTGCGGTGGTGTACAATTATCGTGATTACCTTGAGCGCAAGCTTGTACAGCATCGTATAGTTGAACCAAATGCCGAGACGCTCAAACAGCTGCGTAATGGTAAGACTGTGAAGCCGCGTTCAACTAAGCAAATTCAGGGCCCCCGCACTCTCGACCGCGCCTATATTGAACGTGAGAAAGCTCGTATTGCACGCAAGGAGGTTGAAGATGCCGAAAAGGCTGCCAAAGCAGCAGAGCGAAAAGCTGCCAAAGCGCAGAAGGCTGCAGAGCAGCAGGCAAATCCTAGAACTGCAGAGAATTTACGGGCAGGTACAGGGCAAGGGCCTAAACGTGGTGGCGGGCGTATACGTATATCAAGGGCAGCACGGCAGAGGAAATTTAATGCCGAGGGGGCTGATTTGCAGCGAATTGAACGTGCCATGTCATTTCTGTCATTATACGGTACGTACCATATCCCAATACGTTAGCCTATGGCTTCAACTGACCATGGAATTCAGAAAGGCAATTGGGAGTATGAATTAGCAATATAGGCATATCACTGGAGTCCTCTGGTAGTGGGTATAGTGGTGGAGGCTATTGGGGGGGGTCTAACTATATGGTATGGAGATTATGTTGACTGTGGAGCATTGAATTTTTGTTTCTGTATGATGTAGTCATCACCATTAGCTTTAGCGTGCTGTATTTACCTATAGTCGAAGTCATGATGTGCTGGAATAATGGGTTGCCGGACTGGCCGTTTTTGTTCAATATCCGTAGGTATCTCTGGGCGCCGAGCGTTATGCAATGGTCGATCGTTGTCCGGTTGGGTATAGTACCCCCGCCATCATCTCCCCTCCAATCCCACCGCTTGTCCCCCCACCACCTCTCGTATTTCGAAAGCGGATAACACGATTGGCAGGTAAGATGACCCTGCCGTGACAACAGCAGCATATGAGAGAACTGACAAAGCTCCCCACTCCGCCTTTCCCACCTCTGCCTCTCCTGCCGCCTCTCATTTCGCCTTTCCCCCTCCTGGCCGACAGCTCCTACCACCGCCTCGCTGTGGCCTCTCCGTCGGCTCACCTTTCTCCCTGATAGATCAACTACTTCCCTGGGCTTCCTTCTTTCTTCCTCTCCCAGGTATTTACATTTAATACCTATGGTGTCTATCTTAGCTTTAATAATTGGTAAGTACAAAGGGGCTGTGAGTGCATGGGAGCTACAGGTACAACGGGTCCAGGTGGACCAGGCCTATAACATGGTCTGGGGCTGCAACTGTGGTATAATTGAAATCTTGAATACCCAATTGATGCACAATTTATTATTATATGCCCAATTAATACCCAAAAAGTACCTGATTCATTTGCACTATAGAGTTCGATGCATGATTCTCACCCAATTTGGCTTCAATTTTCGTAACTCAATTGGGTACAATTTATTGTAGAAATTTGGCATTCTATCTTGTTTGCACCATAGGGCAATTCTCTAAAAATATGGATGGAACCTTTTACTTTACTGTTTACTGGGCGTTTCTCATCCCTCAAACCGAGGCATATCTGCTTATCTGTCTATCTATCCCAGAAGATATTGACGGAGTGGCCCTTGCGCTTGCTCACGAATAAATAATCTTCTTTGATCAGAGTACCTTCTGTAGAGCCAGAAATAAGTGAGTATGAAAGTTGTGTTCCTTCGAAGAGTTGAAATGTGTGTACAGCAGAAGAGAAAGTGAGTGTTTTGGAAATTGTGGACGAATGTACGGAATATGTGAAACTACAGATGTACTACTGTACCTATTGAACTCGACTAGACATTTTATAATGCAGCATACACGGTGTCGTCACCTGTTTTAAAGCTTGTGCGTAAGACGGTCTCGGGTTGCTTAGGAGAATTTAGTGGATATAAAACTTGAAGGATGTTAGCCTTAATTGCTTACTTGATGTTCGATAGGACTAGAACTTTGTTTGTCTCACAGGAATGCTAATAACGTACACAAACAGAGAACATCTGAATTTGAGTGATAAACGACTGATGCATACACAAAATAGTGAGACAACCGGAGAAGGGAGCAAACATTGCGGAGCTGTTGGAATGGGCAGGGCAGGATAAAGGGCGAGACATTTTCCTTTTCACTTATTTTCACAATTCCAGTCAGATATTATTCAGTCACATGTAACTAAACATCGCCATAGCCCATAGGGCGGCACGGGATTAATGATATAAAAAAAAAAAAAAAAAAATACACAAAATAGACGCAAGATAAAAGAAGTCAACTCCTCCTGGTTCGCAACACATATTGGAACATGGAAAAATGGCCACTCTCACAGAACCTCCTTGCCAATAGAAATGAAACGAAGAACCACACATCGATGACTACCTCTGGCTAGACCTTGTTATGGCCTTCAAGCTTTGAGCGTAACATTGCAACAATTCGGTGGTGCCCACCCTTAGTAGCCCAATCGAGGGCAGTTTCGGAAGCGGCATTGACCTTCATAATATCAATTTTGTCATGTACAAGAAGCAGCTCCGTTACATTGGTGTGGCCATTGTAAGCTGCCATATGCATCGGGGTGTTACCATTCATATCACTGCAGTTGACATCAATGCCGTTGACCGCTAGGAGGAGCTCAACCACCTTGCCGTGCCCATTTTTAGCTGCGGAATACAGTGGTGTCCAGCCATCGTTGTTAGCCGTATTGACGTCGATCCTGTCGTCTGCCAGCAGCAGCTCCACCACTTTTTCATGCCCTTCATCAGCTGCGGCATTCAGTGGTGCCCAGCCATTTTCACTAGCCATGTTGACGTCGACCCTGGGGTCTGCCAGCAACAGCTCCACCACCTTGTCATGCCCTTCATCAGCTGCGGCATTCAGTGCTGTCCAGCCTTCTTCAGTAACCATATTGACATCAATCCTGTCAGCTACCAACAGCAGCTCCACCGCCTTTGCCTGCCCTTTGTGAGCTGCACTACTCAGTGGCGTCCAGCCATCGTCGTTAGCCGTATTGACGTCGATCCTATCGTCTGCCAGCAGCAACTCCACCACCTTGCTGTGCCCATTATAGGCCGCATTATTGAGTGGTGTCCAGCCATATATGTTCGCCATATTGACATCAACCTTGTCATCCGCCAGGAGCAGCTCCACCACCTTATCGTACCCTTTGTAAGCTGCCGATTGCAGTGGCGTCCAGCCTTCTTTAGTAACCATATTGACATCGTTAACTCTGCCATCCGCCAGCAGCAGTTCCACCACCTTGTCATGCCCTTCATCCGCTGCAGCATTCAGTGGTGTCCAGGCATCTTCACTAGCCGTGTTGGCATCAACCCTGTTGTCTGCCAGCAGCAGCTTCACCACTTTTTCATGCCCTTTGTGAGCCGCAC